GTTGCTGTTATGTGAATTGGCACAAACTATTGGAGGGCAATTTGGCAGTCCTTATTAAAATTTAAAGTGGACTTAGCAATTTTGCTTCTGGGAATTTATCTTATTCATACAAAGATATTTGCTGTGCATTGTTTATAATTGTGAAAAACTGAGAAGGACCCAAACGTCCATTCAAAGAATGGTTTAATAAATTGTCGTATGTCCTTATATACTGCTGGTCCAAGGAATGCATGAGATTTTTATGCGTGGACATGCAAAGCTGTAAAAAGTAAATTACATTAGAAAGCAGGCTTAAAGAGGGCATATATAATATAATCTCATTTGTGTTTAAAAAAACAATATATGTGTTCGCTTGTCATATGTGTACATAGAAAATTTCTAGGAGACATAGAAAGAAGTACTTACAACGATTAACACTGCGGAGCAGAACTAGGTTTCAGGCAGAATAGAGTTTACCACTGACTACTTTGAGTGTGTAATACTTTTATTAAAAAAAACCAAAAAACTGAAAGCAAACTTATTTTCCAAACAATATCCTTAAAGGAAAAAAAAATCCATGTGTTAAATTTCAGGGAGAACTGGCTTAATTAATGTTGAATTTCTAGCCAGGAAGTATGATTCATTTTTCTTGGGAATTCCTTAAATGCAACAAATTACCCAAGTGCAGTGGCTGAGGTTAAGATGAGTGCTGGTGCACACATAAGGTGGGATATAGGAGTACTTGGAAAATCTCAGAGAACCTTTGAAAGGGATTAATTTCTAGAAATTAGGCAAGTAGATCGTTACCTTGAGGAAGTGTGCCTCCATATTTTGTAAATATAGACTGATCCTAAAGTCAGTATTTATAGTCTGAACCAATTATTTAAATGTTATGTTTACTATTGTTTCTGGGAAATGTCTGTGGTTGTATCACTAATGAGGTAGATGGGAAACTTAATTATGCAAGGACGTCCCAAGGGATTTAGGACACTTACATCTGTGGTGAACAGTCCAATCCAGTGGGCATGTCCGAGCCGGTTGAGGACAACGGTGAGGAAGGACTGGTGATACTGGTCTGCGATGCTGACCAGGTCTGCTCCATGCACCAGGCAGGTTTTTATTGCTGCATACCACGTCATATTTGCATGAATTATTTTGTAAGTTCTGTTTCCATATTCTAAGGTATTGGGGACTGGATACATGTCAGATGTATTTACATCATGTCCAGAAGCATCTAGAACAAGAACAACACCAAAAATCATTTGTGGCATCTGGATGAGAAAGGAGGAAGTAAAGCTCAGCTTGGATCCTCTAATGGTCCATGTCAATCAGAGAGTTTTTCTTCCAAAATTATCTATTTCAAAAAGAGGATACTACCCCAAAGTGTATATGATACTGAAGAATTAGAACATTTAGGAAATTCAATGAATGCATTTTTTTTTTCAAAAATATAAACATAGTTTGAACCAGTTCTAGAAGAGTTTTCATTTTTGACCATCCCTTGTCCAACTGATTACTTTTTGGTGGAACCCATAGGGATCTGTTTCATTCTATGAGTGACACTTGGCTTAACACACACTGCTATAGCAGAAGTTAATATTTATAGATAGAATATTGACCCATACAGTCATACGCTGCATTGCAATCCTAATTTCCCATGAGCATATTCTCAGGTAGACCTGTAGGCTGAACTTTTGAAACTGTACAGTCCCTATCATGTTTGCATGTAAAATTCTAAAAGGAATTTTTTAAAAACTAAGTTAATACATGTTTAGAAACACACACAGTTAGAGGTAATATGTCCTCTGTCAGAGTCAAGATTTGTAAATTAAAAGGCAAGGTTTTCTCACTCGTGATCATTGGTGCTTGTGTGTTCGTGAGAAGCTGTGACCATGTGAAAACGAGCTCGTGTTTTACATACAGATGTTTCCTCTCTCATGCGTGCATTTGACTTTCTGTTCTGTATTATGTTACCTGTTATACCAGGATAAGCAAACTTGAGAAGCCTAAAACACAAAAACAAGGTAAAGAGTTTCTCTGTGATATGACCCAAAGTGCCTTGAGTTCATCTCTGTGTGCTGGTTTGTATTACATTTGGGATAGGAAAGGAGCATAGTGAAGTGTGGATAGGTTAGAAGACCTGGGACTTAATCCTGTTCCCGACCTGACTAAGATCCCTTGGGCAAATAATCTCTCTCTGTACCTCAAATATGTGGGTGTAAGAGAGCACTCAGGTCTCTCTTAGGGGGTGTGGGTAGAAAGGCAGTTTCTGTTTTTATCATCTGCTTATTATTTGTTAGAAGTTGTTTTGCCAGCCTATGTACACAGTGTATGGTTATTTATACAAAATCAAAACAATATCAAAGTAGCTATTTAAAAATAATAATTAGCAAAGTTAAAATAACTGAAAGTCTTTGTGTATGTTACCCAAATTCTAATCTGACTTTTTTCCCCCACTGAGTTAAATATCTATACTTTTACACATTTCTCTATGTGTAATTGATTTCATTATGTTTTAAAATATAAGTGATTTTGGGCAACAGGACTTTTCTGCCCATTGGTCTAAAAAAGAAAGGTCTATTAAAAGCGAAGTTCCAAACTGGAGGTCTTCCCTTTCTCCTTATTTCCTTTATTCAGATTACTTAATTTTTTTAGACAGATAAAAGGCAGTAGGCTCAAACCCAGTGTAAACACATATTTATCCGATGAATAAAAAAGAGAAACAGAACTTGCATATTTATTGTAGGCTATAAGAGTTTGTGTGGTTGAACTAATACATTTTGGAAATAATAATAAAAAACTCTTCCTATTTGTTAAACATATGCTGGAACTATGCTAAGCATAATGTATACACAGAAAATCTGAAGACAGTTATTACCCCATTTTGTAGAAATCAAGGTTCACAGAAGATGAATAATTTGACTAAGTTTATTTACCAAGGTGGGCAGGCATTCCAAGGCCTGTGCGCTCCACCATCACCACTCTATGCTGTTTCCAGAGAACATCCACATTGTTAGTTCCCAAAAGATTTCTAGATAAGATCAATCGCTGGGTTTAACTGAGACACTGTGTGTAACTTATTTTTCTAAGCCTCAATTCCTCATCTGTAAAATGGAGAAACTTTGACCTGCTTCATAGAACCGTCTTGAGGAGCTCATGGCATGATGCTCACATGCACAGGGCACAGTGCCAGGTAGATCAGAAGCCTGAAGTACAGGGGAGACTGACGTTTCTGTCCCCGTAAGGCTTTGCTCCTCCCATTTTACTCTTGTTATTACAGATCTAGTATCTTCTTTTAGTTCCTGACCACAATCATGCTTAAGTAATAACTGAGAACCAAAAGTGGAGATTCCTTGGAACTGTTTTATTGAGGATGGGGTGATACGGGCTGATATTTAGTATCATAGTTCATGTGTACGCAGCACTAAGAAGTGTAATTCACGTTTCAAGTAAGTATGGGTGTGTGTTTTTATGTATATGCTAGGCTGCTCAGATTTCCACACACCCCAGACATAAAACTCCAGCCCCCTCAGCGCTCAGTGAAAGCCTGGGCTGTTGTTTTCCTTTGTATTCCTCAGGTCTCATTTACAGCGGATTCCCGCCGCTCTTTGACCCCACTGGCTGTTTGTAGTTCATACCAGAAACCCTTGGGGGTTCTGCTCACCAGATCCACAAACATTCTGCATACCATCTGTAGCTACAGAGACCTGTTTTAGGATTCTAAGAAAGGGGTAAATATGAATTAGTTTATTTCCCTGATTCTTCTCCAGTATTTTCTTTTTAAAAATTGCTAAGTTTTTAAATTTAGCAATTAGGTGGGACACAATTATAAGAGGAACTTTATCTAACAAATGCAAAAAAAAAAAAAAAAAATTCTACCAAAAAAATTGCCTAAGTAGACACACAATCTCAGAACAAAGCAGTAAGGCCATTTAATATGACTAAAACGGAGATGTAAACTCGATTATCACTCAAGTGGCCTCTGCAGTCCTTAGAACCTCACAAAGGGCATAGTCCAAGGGTGTGACTAAATACACATAAAAACAAAGGATAAATGCCTGGACACCATTAGCTGTGAAACTGTTAGCTATACAGCTATGGACAGGCTGTAGAAATGAAAAGAATAAAAACCAAATATTTCTTACCCTGCATTTTTTCACAGACAAACCCATAACCTTCTTTTCCACAGTCTTCAAAATACCATTTTCCGGTGAAATGAAAATTAGGATTACTTGACAGCAAGACACAGAGAGGAATGTGTTTTTGAACTTCAGTGGTGTTATAACTAGGAATCTTTAAAAAAAAATATATGTTATCAAAATATGGTAACATGTAAAATTATTATAGCTTTGAAATTTTTATTAAGGATAAATTTAAATCGACACCATTGTTCTTTTATTTGCATTTAATAGGTCTGCTCACAAATCACTTTATAACCTACAAAATCAACAATTATTGTGGTGAGCAAAGCAATTACATTTATGGAACACATGAAAACTATATGAAATTACATTATTAAAAATTAATATATGAATGACAAGCTAATATAAATTGAGACCTAAAAATATAGAAAGTAAACGCTTGAGTAAACAAGTCTTGAATAAAATCTCTTGTCAAAATGATTTCTAAAAAATAAAACTCAAAACTTACATTTATTACATCAACTGGAGACCAGTTAGAATATGCCACAGGCTTTCCATTTAGCCATTTTTCATAATTACTATTTTGTAACCCTATCCACACATTAGTGGTCTGGCCAAAAAGATTCATAGTAATGAAAGCTGAAAAATAAGAATACATTATCTAATTTAATACCGTTGAAACCATTGGGGTAATCATCAGAATCTTTTTATAGCTATGATAATATTTAAATGACAGCAAAATGTAATTACAAATCAATTGTAGCCATTTGTTACTTTGTCCTTGTTAAGGTAATGTAGTTTCTTTCACTTTCATTTTAGTTTAAATCGACAGATTAGCTAAATAACCTGAGATTTCATCATAGCATCAATAAAACAATTTCTAGTGTTCATTCATTTCCTTTCCAAACAGAAGAGGATTTATCTACTGTATTTAAACTAAAGTTTGTAATTGTCTAAGTAGCAAACGGATATAGATAAATCTAAAGGGATCTAAAAAAATCACCCCACGTAATTCTAGTGGAATATACCTAGATTATTTTAGCTATTTTGAAACACAGATCATAAATATGTACTTATTCTTTCTACTGCTTTTGGTGAGATGAAAGGCTTCCAAATTTAGCAGTTCCTAAGCAATGTGGCATACTAACTTGTACATATGTCATGACAAAACCTTATAGGTCAAACTGAAAATGTATATGTCATCAGCAATAATATTTTAAATTTACATACAGAAGTAATAAATTGGTATTTGGTAATGTTAGTATTTTGGGTGACATATCTTAATAAATACTTGAATAAAAATGGTGATTTTGGCCTGGTTGGGCATTGAGGACTCTACCTTGCTCCACTTCACTTTCAATGGCCACCAGTGTCCCTCCAGCTTCAACACAGAAATCCCGAGCCCGTGGCCAGTTCTTCTGATCGCTTGGGTCTTTGGGGATATTCACCAAAAGACACTATAAAAAATGTCAAAACAAAATGTTCATTTCTGTATTTTTTAAAAAGTGGATTAAAAATTTCCCAAAGAAATCAAGGGCCAGAATTCTTCTTCTTTTTTTTTTTTTTTTTCAGGGGCAGAAAGAACTCATTTTTCTTTCAACTGCAAAACAAAGAGGAGTAGCTTTCTGGGTGAATTGACGACTTGCCTGTGTTTGCATCAGGTAGGGAACAGAAGCAAGGACGTCTTTTGTCATGTGGGTTATCAGGACAGTGTCTTTTGCTCAATGAAAATTAGTATGCTTCCTGAAAAGAGCCAGTCTGATTGCAAAGGTTACAGTGGCACATTTAATCTAAAAAAGAAATCTGGGGGTGGTAATAAACAATTCAGCTCAATTTTATTTACAAATACATTTCCTCACTTTACGTGAGAGAGGAATAGTGGAGAATCAAAGCACAGCAGGTATTTAAAGTCACTAAATTCCTGGAGTCAGCCCTTTGGTCAGCAAATCCATCAGAAGGAGCTGCAAAAGAAATTCTGAGCCCAATGGAGGAGCAGCCATGGAAGGACCAACGAAACCTAGAAGGAAGGAGAAACGAGGGGCAAGGTTGGCCATGAGCACTAAATGGAACACAAAATGAACGGTTGTGGGGTTTGGCAGTGAGAGTTGGGTGTTAACACAGAAGAGAGAATTGTGTCTGTAACATGACAGAGGTTTCCTTACTATGGGACGGGATGAGAAAGGGAATGATACGTGCTAGGCAGGACAGGCAGGATTGAAGACAAGTTTTTTTTTTTTTTATCTCAATGAAATTTAAAAATACTGGTTAAGACCAGATGAAGGTAGGTGAGAGGGAGAGAGAAAAGAGAAAGGCTACAGTGGATCAGGCCAAATTCCAGAGAAGGAGGGAGAGATTTTATGTAAAAGATATCCCATCTGGAATTTGCTAGAGATTCCTTTCTCATACTCATTTCAACTCTAGTCATTGGAGGTCAGATCCCAAGAACTTGCCACTAAGAAAATTCTAGCAGCATGATAGTTCCAGATTAGCATGAAAATTTAGGCTTGAAAGAACATCTTTCCCCATCTTACTTTGTAATAATATCCTTCCGATCTTTTCCTAATGTCTAAGTTCATCAGCTCCCCACCCCTTCTCCACCTTCATATACTCCTTTAGGCAGGGGGACCAAATCTTACTCCTCTTTGAACATCCTATCAGAAAAGGGGCCCAATAAACATTTATGAATGAAAATAAAACCCAATAAACCCTGAAATAGTTGTCAAATGACATTGTCAAGCTCAGAAAGGCAATTTGCCCCTGAGGGGATATTTGACAATGTCTTGAGAGATTTTTGGTTGTTAGAGTTTGGGGAAGGGTTGTT